CAGGAAGTATAGGACAGTGGGGAAGGAGAGGGGACTGTAGTTTAACATGCACTTAGAAGTAAACTGATTTCTAGTTACTTGAATGCTTCTTTTTCCTGTCCCAACTTTAAAGTTGGGACGGGAGGGAAACATAACAAGTTGTGATATAATCCAAGTGTTTATAGCACATACAGTCAGGAATTGTCTGAGTATATTCCTTCTGCTTTCTGACTGTTGTGTGTCTGGTACTGCTAATAACAGGAATACATGTGTATTACAGAGAAAATAAATCTGCATTAACTCAAGCATATGCCGAGTAGTCACAAACTTCCTGTTGGCTCAACAAGCATATGTGAGCGAGACTTGGAGCAGGGAATGCCTACTGCTCTGCTTAGATAGGAAGGTATGAGAAGGGATGTGCTGGAACAGGACGAAATAGGAGGCAATCTAAAGCTGGTAAGGAAACCCAAAGTTGCAAGCTGTTGCATTGCTTTTTACCAGCATTACAAAGCTGGAGGTAGCTGAAAAACTTCGGATTTCTGCTGTGACATAGCTCAGGCTTAAGGTTTATGTCCTGTGGCTGAAATCGTTGCATGTTACCTACTTTGTTGAGGGGGTGTAAAATCTAGAAGGCAAGACAATAGTGAGAGGTGACCTGTAGTCCTGATCTTTTACAGAGGCTAGGGTGGCGACAGGCAGGGTGAAGAAAGAATGTGCCCTAAGGTGGCAGGCTGCTTAGTCTGTTTCGTTTTGCTTGCAGTGGTGGCTGAGCATGCTCTTTTGTACTAAGTGTTCCAGTGCTTGGGGAGAGAGAGGTTTAATGATTTCAGTGTGCTTAGGAAGATAAATTAGTCTGCCAATGGTGCTTGTCTCTACTGTTGCAGCTTCTGGGTTTTATCCAGAGGAAGGGCAGAAGCTATGGAGAAGACTGGGAAGGTTACAGTGAGGAGCACAGTTGACTGGGATGAGCTCTTGAGGAGGTAGAGACAAAGCTACAGTTTCCTACTTAGTAGAATGGGGTTGCGTGGAGTGGCTGGAGGAGCAGCAGTAAAGAAAGCAAAGGAGGTGAAGGGAAAGGATGAAAATGTTTTGGGAGTCTAGGTAGTAAAGAATAACTGTGGGGGGGGGTGATCAGTGCAACATGGAGCATAGGATGAGTTTCCTTATTTCTTGTGTGATGGTGGGAGGAATTTTTCATTTGTCCTAACCTGTTGCAAAGATTAAAACTTTCTAGCATAGAACTTGGAAAATTTGCATCCATAATACAGATAGAAATCTCTCTTACATCAGTACCTCTAGAACCCAGCCCAGGCAGCTGTTTTCCAACACACACACATGCTTCAATGTACAGAGTGAAGTACCCTCCCTCCTATGTGTACGTTAAAGCCTGTGAGAGAAGTGGAGGGTGGTTGGTTTTTTTTAATTTACCTTGAGATCTGCTGGAGCAGGTTTCCTTCTGAGAGCATTATGTAACCATGAATTGAATTGGATTGCTTGTTCAAAACATGGTATATCTGTTAGATCAAGAAACCTGCTTTTATTTATTTATTTTGCATTTAGCATTCAGTGTCTGTTGGGAGGCAAACTTTTCTGCGTTTCTGGCAGGAACTTGAAAAATAAAACGTATGCATGTGTAATAATTTACTCTAAACCCTAAAATTATCTTTCCAATATAGTGGTTGTTTCTTACGTTACTAAAGAAACCATGTATAGCCTTGTTATAAGCCTGGGAAATACAGTACCTGCATCTAATTTTATTCATAATCTTTTTCTTCCATTTCAGCCCTATGCTAAGTTATGTGGCAGGCTTCTGTGTATTGCAGCAAGATTTTTGTGGCCCTGAGATGTCGTTGGCAAAGGACTGCTTAGAGTTTCATCCCAGTTAGAAACGTAGGCTTTTAATTAATTACTAGGAGGAATGCAGCATAATCAATACTACTAGACTATTTTTCAGGGCAGGGCAGGCTCAGCTGTTGCTCAGAGGCCACCTGTAGCCTTCAAAGCAGTTTGCTATGTGCCTAAAAGGAATTTGCTGAAGGTGCCTGTGCATGGTAATTGTCCAGACATGTGCCTGCTTTGTTATCACATTTTCTGGTTCATTAGGTTTGTTAGGTTGGAAGTGCACCTGAATATGAAAAGGGAGCGATTTTGCCCAAGCATGTTCTGCTTGGAAGCTGTTGTGCCACTGAAATGTGTTGCTACCCCTTTGCCGTCTTCTAGAGATTATTACTTGCTGTGGTGGAGTACGTCATGCGAGTTCTCCATATTCTGCTCAAGCAAAAGCTTATACTTTTAAAATTGGTGGCATGATCTTACCCAGCTCTTTTGCTTAGTTGCTTAAGATTCCTTTGATGGTGCTGCTGTGTTAGTAGGTTCACAGTGTGACCCTCTTAAAGGGAGGGAGGAAGAGGACAGCAGCGTTGCCTGCCTACCCAACAGGCTGCATGTCCACACTGCCGACAAGGTGCTTCTGCCAAACCTGTCAGTTCACTATTGAACTGTTTGCATTATCAATTATGAATTTAAACAACAACAAAAACCTCACAAAAAGACACCGATTACGGTGGTCCTGAGCTGCTGCTCCCGGCAGTGTAAATTGCTTCAGATGAGGAATACACCTAATTAACTTTTTCAAGGTTATGAATTCTCTGGGAGAGTTAAGCATAACTCTGCTGAAAGGTGTTAAAAGAGAAGATATTTTTGCTGAATGTTACTGCTACAGACTCATGCAGCTGATGCTCTGTTGGAGGGAGAAATCAAAACTTTGGCTTCAGGGATTTGGAGTCCCTTCATTTTTAAGTCTTGAGTTGATGTTTAATAAAATATAAAGCCAGCAGCTTCCTTAGTTATAGATAGTAACATTCATCATGGGTGTTTGGTAAATGGGTGGAGCCTGTGGTGAGTGAAGGCTAATCTCTGAGTCGGCAGCTGGCTCGCCTCCTATCCCCACTCTTACAAACTCCTTAAGACAAAATGTCAAGTGTCGAAAGCGTACGTAGCGTCATCCTGTAGCAGGTATCAAGTGGACTCCAGTGAATCACGTTTGCAGCTTTAATTTTCTAATGACTGCCAGTCATTTGGCTGCGGTTTCTTCTGCTAGCTAATGAACTTGGTGAGGACAGCTCTCGATCGAGCAGTGAAGCATCACTTCAGGGAGGGATGGAACCTGTGTCCTGGTGCTCTGTTTTGCTGCCTGCCCTGGACTGGGATTAGCACTTGTGCGGTGAGCTGCATCAGGGAGCTGATCCAGCTGGGAGCTACCCTGATGAAAGTGAACTGTGAGCACCACTGATGGCTGCACAAGGAAGGGCTCTTCCTTTTGCAGGGACCTGCCTGCAGTTACAGGAATGACTATGAATTTTAGGGGCAACCAAGCAAAGACTTAAAGAATCGTTGGTGGCTACAGTTACAACAGCAAGAGGTTGTGTTATTGCTTACTATTGAGTAATGTTATGCTCTTCGAGCAAAAGTAGAAAACTAGAAATAAATTAGATCTGCTAGCTATTTTGATGCCTGCTAAAGTGAAAGATACTGTCAGCTTCTGATTTTTTTTTAAGAAATAAGTGTATTTTTAATCTCCAGTGAGGTTGTTTGCAAAGTCATATTCTTTGCCCTAAGAAAAATGTATACATGGAGTCAGCCAACATATTGTTGGCATCTTCTTTTTCTACTCTCCAGCCCAAAGGAAAATACTATCCCCTGATCCTCAGAAGGGAATTTCAGGCACTTCTCCACTTGGATCTGGTCTATGATACCGTGCTGTGGCTTTAGATCTGAAGTAGGTGGTGTTTCCCCACCACCTTCCTCCCTTGCTAGCTGTCTTTGGGCAGCTGTCTGCTTTGTCTAGGTGACTTTGCTTTACAAACGTGGGGTTGATTTCCATACCTTCCTGTTGGGGCTTAGCAGAAGTAGTTATCTGAAGCAACACTCACTGGAACAGGTAAAAGCTTGTCGCTGCCACTGGGATTTTACAGCTAATAAGCTGTCAGTGTCTAGAAGTAATGACTTCTAATAATGTGGTGGCAGAGGCTAGGTGTACCTGGGCTTGGCATGTTAAACCGGTAACTCTAGAGGTCACGCTTCTAGGTCTTTCTCCCTCCGTGCTACTTTCTAGTGAGATTAGATTGAGGCAAATGGTTTGTCTTCTCCTGCCTGGTTTGTTATGTAGTGTGTGAGAGACTTAGCAAAATAGCTCCCCCTGAAAGGATTTGAAAAGTCTTCTGTGGCTTTATACGTCTTTTCTTCTGAAAAGCATACATTCACTTTGAAATTCACAAAAGTTGTCAGCAGAGTCTTGGTTCCGCAAAAGTTGTGCAAGCCCACCATTTGGCAAGATGTTGGGCAGAAGGGGAACTTGTGTCCTGACCTCCTTAATTTATGTAGGTTTTAGATGAAGGTGTTACATCCAGAGTAGGCAAGAATGTAAACAAACCCCTTTCAGCACCTTAGTAGAGTTAAGTGTATAGATGTTAACTTGCAGCATTATAAGGAATCTCCCAACTCATCTGGAGGTGAGTGAGCACGGGCAGTTCCTTTTGTAGAGAAAGAAGAGAGTGGGGAAAACATGCTGAGATTTCTTAACTGGTTCAGAACTTGACCAGCAAAAGCTCTTTTTCTTCAGGGTCCTTAAAGTACTTTTGTATGGTTGTAAAACCTGGGTAACACCTGGTTTTGCAGGTCTTAAGTTGTTGATTTTGGCCAAGTTGAGCAAATATGTTCTGTTTTCAGCTCCTAAAATTCTTTATGAGGAGTTAAACTAATAGACAATCATCAATAGACCTATTGGTACCAAAGTAACCAAGAAAGCTTCCTGCCATTACTAACTAAAACATCCCAAACAAACAACTTTACTAAATGTGAAAGAATAAATACTGGGTGTCATTTATCTATTAGGTTGAAAATGCCAATTTTTATTGGATTGCAGGCCAAAATCATCTACAAGTGCCTTTGAGTGTTGCATTATGCGTATCAGGGTAATGCCTCAACCAACTGCTTAATATCTTGTGCACTTTCCATATCAGGTATTTGATGCTGGTGACTACTTTGGGATAATGCAAGTAGAAGAGGTGGATGAGGATGAAGAAGGTGATGAAGAAATGGAAGAAGAATTAAAAAAGAAACCAAATCCTGGAAGTGAACCTTGTTTCAAAGTTATTGTAACAAATGAGAATGGGCTTCAAGCCTCCAATCCTAATAGGTGAGTAGTGATTTCAGAACTAGTGTTCAGTCTTTGAGTAGTCTTAAACCCTAAAATGACACAGACAGTTTGCTTTAAAACCTGTTTGATCCTATCCAGAAGTCCTCTTTTCTTACTATAAGACATGGCTGCCTGTTTGAAGAAAGGTGCATACTACGAGGCACGTCTTGCAAAGGGTACTAGGAGTGCAAGTATCTTAATATTGTTCTTTTTTAAATCGTGCAGGAAGATGCCTAGAAATCTGTTTTAGTAAACTGAGGGAGAAAATAAGGAAAAGGCAACCTTGAAATGAATTCTGCAGAAAGAAAGCAAAAACTGTATCTGCAAAACTGTGTGCCCTTGGAAAACAAAAACGAACACTGAGGAAATACTTGTGACCTTCACAAATCTCAGGCTAAGGAGGTACTAAGCAGCTTCACAGTAATGATCCATGGGCTACTGAACTTCCTCCAGTTGGCTAAAATACAATTTAAGAGTGTGATTGTGTGGTTGCATGCTATGCATGCATGCATACGTAATTCAATATATTAAGTTACTGTTGGCTTTCTTCAGAATCAGCTTATCTGACATTAATGAGACTCATATGCAGCTATAAAACTAGAAAAAAGTTGCATTAGAAATAACAATGTTACAAAACAGCTTTTTGTGTTCTTACTGGTTTCAAACCTAGAACAGGCTATTTGTCATATTAATAAATAGCAGTGAGATGAAGTCATCTCTGCTGGAGATCTAAAGACAATTCTGCTCAGTTCTATGAAACTTCTTTTGCCAGAACTTTCATACTTTTTAGGTCTTATATGAACATACAAAGTCTAAATTTAGCATTGATGGGTAAAAACAACACAGAGCATAGGTATCTGCCTTTACGTGCCTGCTTTAACCTAAGCCATTGCCTTTCCAAATCTGAGAACACAAATTATAAGATCAAAACAGCTCCTGTGGTAATCTTGGGCTTCCTTGCAGCGTTCAAGTGTGTGTGAATGCAGGTGCAGGACATCAACATGCCTCTTTGCTAACATTTCCAAAGAGCTTGACCTTGGCATTCTCTGGAGTCCTTAATTTTAAAATTAAATGAGGTTTCTTCTGTATGTGGAGTCAGAGATACAATAACTGTTCAAGGATGCTCGCTTTACATGACAGCAGACGTGTTCTTAACTTTCTGAAATATGGGCGGTCGGCTGCGTTTTTTTGCAGGGGTTGTGGGATTTTTTTTGGTTGGTTGTTTTGGGTTTTTTTTAACAAGTAGAATTCAGATTTTTCTCTGACTTGGTTCGGTAAGAGGATGTAACCAAAATGTGGAGAGCCCTTCTGTTTGAATAACTATGTGGTTTTTATAAAAAATCGTGTGGCCTAAACAAGGGTTAAACTTGTCAAAGGAAGCTGTGGCAGTTGTGTGTGACTTTGGTTTGTGTTAGGTTGGTAATCTTTTAAAACAATGCATTTTTTCTAAAAAGACCTGAGGGGCAGGGGGAAACACCCCAGAAAACCCAAAGAGAAACAGTCAAAAAAACAACCCTTTTTTTTCTTTTTTGAGCATATACAGGCTTTTGATGATCAGACCTCTCCACCTAGTTTTACAGATGAGGGTAGATGTCACAGAGCTCATGGCTAGCAATGTCCTCAAATACTTTTGCAAAATAATGTATTGTTTTCCTTCTTCAGGCAAGAATGTCAGGTTGGTGCAGTGGAGTTAATGATCAAAAGGGAAGAAACTCTTGTGTTCCAGGCATTTAAAGGGAAGTGGGCTTACAAACTGAATGCCCTGTTCTGTGTTTGCTCCTCATTTTCATGGAAATACTAACTGGTGCACCATAAGCTTTCGAGAACAAATCCAGGATGTAAGTTACTGCTGGAAAGTTGTTCCTAACCTCTAGTGTCACAAGTATGTTCTGGAAGTGACTTTGGGAGTAAGAGAAGACTTAGTTATCGGATCATCCACAAGGAAATGTAGCTCTTATTCACAGAGTGTTTGGCTATATACGTGTAGAAATATACCGTTGTAATGTTACCAAAACTCTCTTTAAGCATTTTCCTCATTGACCATGCCTGGACATACCGTGTTGAACATGCCCGCCAGCAGCTGCTTCACGTACCGGGCTTACTGCACAGAATGACCAATCTCATGGGAATCGACTTTCACGGAGAGATCCCAGATGAGGGCAGTATTGAGCAAGTGTTGCAGGAAATGTGGAAATACAATCAGACGTACCAGCTTTCTCAAGGGGTAAGTCTCCAAAGCCTAATTAGGATGCTGAAAAGTCCTGAGCAATCCTGAGTGAAGACATTCCCGTGTATGCCTATTAACAAAGATACATTTTCAAATAAAAAAGGTCCTTTACAGGCATTTCGGAGTAATCTTCTACTTGGAAGGAGAGCAAATGCTATGTAGGGTAAAATGCACAGTGGCTTCCTACCAGCTTTCTGCTGAGAACTTTGAGGGGGTCTTTATAGAGGGGACAAGAGTCTGCTGCAAAAGAAGGGGGCTAGAAGGGGGAGATCTGTTTGTATGTCGTGTGGGTTTTTTCTACTCCAGCTTTCTCGTAGTGAAGGAAAGAACCTCTTGTGAATCAACTGTCTCACATGAAAGTGTGTGTCTCAGCTGTGCTCATAGTTTTCCTCGCCTATATAGAGTGCTTTACATACCAGGGATATATCTACGCTGTCAAATAACTTAGCTTCCTGGTTTGTGTTTGGCAACGGATTGTCTGTACTGTGTAAATGTTAGCTCACCCTCAGGCAAGAACCACCTAGCTCCAAGATGGAGCGTAAGTGTTTTTAGGCATAGCTTACTCCAAGGGCTGCTACTTTTAGGTAGTGTGGATAAGACCACACCAAGTTTGTTCCCTCTGCCGTAGGTGGTCCTTCAGCACTGTACCAGCTTGTCTTGAGCCTAACAAACACCTTCAAGTGCATACATGCCATTTTCTGAGGGAATACAGCCCTCAGCGTTCAGTTAAAAACCCTTTTGTAGGGTCTGCTATGTAGCTCCTTGGCTGTTACCAGTCTTTGGGATTAAAGAGGAGAAAGGTGAATTCTTTGGGCTGAGCCCTATGCAGAATGGGCAGGACTAACCCTGAGCAGTGTGAGCATGACCAGCCTGTACCTTATTAGCTCACATGCTTGAGGTTTTTCTCTGGAGTGGTCATCTTTATCAATTAAGGTATCAGCTTAGCTCACAGTAGTATCAGGCTTGAAAAATCCCCAAGAAAGGGATTTGTTGTGACTTCTTTTTCTTTAAATAAAAGGGAGATCTGAACAGCTTCTCTCATTCTTTCTACCCTATGTCTTTGTTTCTGATCTTGTTGTCATGAATGGCTTGTGAGTCGGGTGGAATTATCTATGTTACCACTTGAAAAGTGATTTCCTGGAAGACAGTTCATTCAACCTGTAGTTGAATTTGTCTTCTGCTCCCCTTTCTGGCACTGGGCTACTTGAATATCTTAAGTCTAATCTCTGTGCTCCATTTCTGCCTCTCCAAAAAGGCAACAGTGGATGCTACCAAGCAATTTGAAGTTTGTTCATTCATTCAAGATTTTATGATGTGTTGCAGGAAGGGGTGCTTTGACGACGCAACCTCAACACTCACAGCCAGCAATAGTTGCAGGAGGTAGTTCTGCTCTCCTTCACTGAAGCTGTAAACTTCAAACTCCTTTTAGCAAACTGATTCTGGTAGGAACTGAAGGAAAAACTAATCTTAACAACCAGCCTTTAGTTCCCTGAAGCAGTGGGACTGGTAGGCGATAGCAGTAGCCTGAGAAAGGAGATGGGACTGTGCTGTTGAGGTGGGAACAGGCTGTTCCCAGCAGTGGCTGAATGCGAGGCTGGCTTAGCCTCAGAGTTGCAGGGGTGGGAGTGTTACTCTGGGCCTAGCATCTGCTCACAATCTTGGCTGGAATAGGAAAACAGAGACATGGTGTAGGGGGTGCTGCCAGCGCCTTCTGTCTTGCGGTGCTTTTCTAGCAATTGATGTGTGCAGGATGTCTCGCTCTCTAATCATACAGACTGCAGAGGAAAAGGTTCCTGTCTGGTACATTATGGATGAATTTGGATCACGCATTCAGCATTCAGATCAGCCTAGTTTTGCAACGGCACCTCTGTTTTATATGCCTCAACAAATTGCTTACACTGTTCTCTGGCCTCTGAGAGACCTTGAAACTGGTGGTAAGTGTGGGTTGAACATTATTTTATTTTTTTTATGCTCACAAGAGAAGATGGGTCATATTCTTACAAATCATTGAGCACTTCACAGTAGAACAAGTATTTCAAGACCAAAATGACTGCGTATTTGTAATGCTATTGAATTTAAAAGTTCCCTGCCTGATATTTCTGTAATATATGTGAGAGAGGCCTTTATCAGTCCAAAAACGTTGCTAATGTTTTGTTCACAAAGAACTTAAATCTTGCATCACTGTCTTAGTGAAAGCACTGATTCGGACATCTGAGAGTTTAAAAAAATTGCCTTAAAGGTCTATGTTTCCAGTTTGAGTCAGAAAGTCAAGTACTGGAAGTTGGGAAATGCCAGGCCAAAGATTTGCTCCTGTAATCTTGGTTTGGGGCCACCTTATGCCCCTACCATGTGGAGGAAATAAGTGTGTGGCTGTCTGACTAAACTGACCTAAGTCAGATGGCTTCAGACTAATTTTTGCATCCTAAGTAATACTCTTTTTGATGTAATTCTTTAATTATCTCTAACTTTACATTTAAATAACAAAAGTTGTGGTATTATTAACTGTTCAGCTGTCACTTGTGTGATGTGCTATGAGAAAGATTTTCAGTGGAGAATGAGCGGAAGTTCCTGAAGGTTCTCCTTGTTTTGCTACAGATGAAGTGACTCGTGATTATGCTTATGGGGAAACGGATCGCTTGATCAGGAAGTGTGTTTTGTTACCGTGGGTGCCTAACGAAGTGTTGGATGTCAACTGTTTTACGCCAGAGCCATCAGATGAGCATTACCAGGTATAATTTTAACAAATTTCATGTTTTATCTCTTTTAAAAAGAGTCAGTGTCTAAAAAAAACCTTGCCAGAGTTCTGATTTTGCTTCTTTTTAGGCTTAAAGATTGATTCAGAGTATAGCTATTAATTAAAAAAACCCAAATCATTTCAAAGAAAGCGTGGTGAGACAAGAAATGTCTTAAATATTATATGTAACTGTTTAAACACTGAAGCAACACAAATGAGTTCTAATATGTTACTGTGGTATTGTATAACCTTTGTATAAGCATGCTACTTCATATGAAGTACTCGCCTTCCAGTTAGATATCTGATACGTTGTCCAAATAGGCTTACTGATGGGATTTGTTATTGTAGCACTTCTGGTCAGCCTTGAATTGCAGAAAGATTAATTTTGGTATTTTAGGAGTGGTTATATTTTTCAGCTTGGCTACGTGTTTAACGTTGTAGTTTAGAACCATTAAATATTGGAGCAGAGATGTCTTTAATTTGATGGCAGTGTTACAAAGTACTCATCTGTTTTGTTCTGAACTCTCCTTCTGATAAAGGTTTGTGATATCTAGTCAGAAATTAACCTGCTTCTGCTAAATGAAGGTATACATTCAAAATAGCTAGGCTGTCTTGTAACTGAAGTCTGGTTGGTTGGTTGGGATTTTGCATTTTTAGAAGAGGGATAGATGTACTTTGCATTTACAGATGAGGAACAATACACCCATAGTTCATGTCTTACAGGTGTGCTTGGATCTCAGATAAGGCAAGTTTTTGCATGAGTTTTAATTCTATTTTGGGATGATCATTTCAAGTTAAAGAACTATTTATGGCAAACAGTATCCTCCTTTACCACCCCACCTTAAAAACATCTTCTCAAAGCATCCTGTTTTTTCTGTACTGTGTCTCTGCCACTCAGCTGTTGAGAAGAGATGACAGCAAAATACTGATTACCAACAGAGCTTTCTTTTACTTGTGATGTTAGCTGCAGGCTAAAGTCCTAACTGGTGACAGACCAGTGAAGAATAGCTTAGGGCACAGCACAGCCTTAAACACCATAAGTGAGATGGCTAGAAGGAGGTAGACCATGTTACTGACACTGCTAATTCCCCTGTTTTCACATAAGCAGAGCTGCGTGTACATAAAAGTACAGACAACTTTAGAGATCTGTTTACTTTGTTAATATGCGAGCCAGCAGTTCTGCAGTGAAATACAATTGTGTGAAAATGTTTCTAAATATTTATGCAAGTCATACAGTTTCAAAATCGTTTGTTGCTGTCACTGTACAATTTCTGCAACTGCTTTACTACTGTGTGCAAATAATCATTTGTTGTTAAATGTGCTGTATTGTTGGGTTTTACTATAGCTAAGGATGTTATATTTCTTATTCTGATATTTCCTTTAAATAAACCTGAAGGCTTCAGTCTTCTGTGTTTAAACAAATCAGAGTTGTTACAGCACCTTTGTGGCTTAACTTTTACCTGTTGTTGTTTTTTTTTTTTTGTTCTGTTACCTAATTCTGGTCTCCAACACAGGCCACAAAGGCTGTAACCGAAATGGTACTACAGGTGATGATTGGGCAATGATTGCAGAAACCAGTGTCAGGGGAGGTGACTTCTAATGAAGTGTCTGGGATAGAAATATCTCTTAGTGGGACTAGAGTAGTGGCTGTTCTGCAACAGCTCCTTGTGTTCAAATTGCAGAAGACACAGTAATGTATCCTCTGGTACTATTCTGAGAATTGTATTCTTCTGCTCTCAAAAGTACAGGCTCCCTTCCTATTCTTAGGTGACTCCAAGAATTATTTTGTATTTGTGCTGTCCAATCTACTTTAGAAGGTGATGACTAAGGTCTTTGATTTACGATTGTAGTTTTCTTTATGCTTTCCAGTTAATGTGCGATTGTATTCCCTGTAACAACCTTAAAGGTAAAGGGCTGTGCCTATGGCCGGACAGACATTTCATATCTGCCACTCATGAGGACAATCTGCCACTGGAACTCAGGGAGGTGTTGGAGAACACCAGCTACTTTGGTTTCTCAAGAGGCACTTTTCCAATCCCAGAGTTTCTGTAAGCTACTTCTGTTGGCAGGGTATCAGCAATGATCCACATATGTTTTCTTTTATCAGTCAGAGGTGGTGTAAAAGGTGGAGTGAGACTTTTACTACTGAAGACGGCAAAAAGCCTTTTGCTAATTTTTACAGGAGCAGAATTAAGTTCCAGCCTCCTATAATTTTTTTAGTTATCTGTAATAAAACACCATGTCTAAATGGTAAGTTTTTTGATTGGAAATAGAGTAACTTTGTCTTTTACTGCATATGATCATCTGTGATTTGGTATTTTGTTCAAACCTTAGGAGAAACAGGAATTTCTCAGGGTGCTTTGACAGTGTTGATAAGCCCTGGTGTCAAAGAAGACATAGGTTTCTTGTTCCTTTTTTTACTAATAGTCTTTTACCTCTGATTCGCCTGGTCTCGAAGAAGACATAGGTTTCTTGTTCCTTTTTTTTACTAATAGTCTTTTACCTCTGATTCCCTTCTGCCTCTGCTCTTTTATTGATTATTTTTTTTCTGAGCAGCGTATTACAACATAATTATTTCTCAAAATGCAGCTTTGGTGGAATTCACTTGTGCTGAAGACAGTGGAATGATGAGACATGCAGATGCACTGTCATGTTTGCTGTGACTACAAATGCACCTGTACACATGTATTTGAATACATATGTGGAGACAAGGAATTGCAGAAAATTATCTGTAAAGGTTTACAATTTGAGAAAACTTCAACAGGCTAAACTTCAACAGGCTATTGCTGATAAAACACTTGGATGAACTTTGAGTCATACAGAATATTTTACCTGTAGCTTCTTGGAGATTATGTTGTTTTTCAGTCCTTTTATAAACCTGATTATGCGCACTTTAAAATTCAGTTTGGTCTAAGCTGCTGTTCATATCCACTGAATGTTGTGGAGTTTGACCTAAGGCTGCCTGTTTATTCTGCCTAGTATTAACTTTTTTGGGGGGGTTTTTTGTTTGTTTTTAGGCTATTTTAGCAGAAAACAAGGAAAAACTGCCTATAACGATAAAACCACCAGTTTATGACAAAGACAAAGTTTTCAAGTACGTATCTGCAAACAAAATGCTTTCTTACCAAGATAACATGTAATAATTGCAGTGTGCTGAGGCTGAACAGCCTTTTCCAGCTTTGAACAACAGAGGCAAGTTGACGGTGTGTTTATATGTAGCCACTTGCTTAAGATTCTCACTTACTAGTTGTTCTTGTTGGATTCTTCAGAGTAAATAGATTTAGGTGGTGGGGTTTAAGTAAGTGCCACCTTTTGGGAAAAAGTTGTATAATGTTGTAACGCTGTTTTCACTAAGGAGTATAACTAAAGTATGTAAGAAAGACTAAGACTTCTCTTCTGCGTTATAGCATGTACGTCCATAGGGGTATATGCGCTCCTCTATGCCGTGTGAATATAACAGACTATTCCCCACTTCAGATGATACTGCCAAACAGGAAATCTTGTCAAAACCTGGGATGTTTTAAATTGGGTATGTGCCTTATTAAAAAAAAAAAAAAAAGAAAGCACAGTGTATGGTGTGAAACTATTTCAGAAGAAAGCTGGAAGAACATTGCAAAGGTAAGGGATTTTTGTGAGCAAAGGCAGAGGCACTGGATGGCTAGACTGCCTTATTAGAAGTATTATTCCAGAAAAACATACTATTTCGTAGCATGTGCTGCGAGTTGCACTCCAGGGTGTTTGTAGTCTGACACTGGGATCCAAGCTCTTGCTTGCAACATTTTGCATCAAAAGCACTAGGTTAGGCTGAAACATATTTGGTAGATGTAGTCACACCCCAGCTTTTGGTGTTGAGGGGATTTATTATTCACTAGATTAACTTTACTTGAGAAGAGCTACTGAAAATCAAAGTCACTTTGAATTGAGAGGAATTTGTTTACTTGCTCAGTGATAGTCTAGATTTCATTACACAGTGGAAATGTCTGGTTACAGGGCTGTGAGTATAAGCAAAGCTATTTTTTCATCCAGTGTACTTGCCTCTATTCCAGATAAGGGTGTCAAAGGTAGATGCGTTCTAATAGACGTGGAAAGAAACACTGAGGATGTTGGAAAATATTGACTTATTTTTCACTGCTACCTCTTTATTTTGCATCTCATATTTCAGGTGAATAGCATTCATATCAGGGAGGGAAGGAGGGGGGGAAACACACGCCAAATCCTTCCTGCTCTGAAAGGAATTCAGAGGAATGTCGTCAACACCCTGTCCGTGTACTCCGAATGGGGTTTCCTCTCTTTATCCAGCTGCTGTATGGAGAGGAGAAAGGGAGAGTAGCTTGACCTCCACAGGAGGACTACAAGGACCTTCTTGTGTTCTGAATTTCATCTACCAAAGTTCCTGTAGGAGCAGGGTAGCTGCTCAGAGTCCAGATGACTTAGTGGGAGCTGCAGTCTTCCAGTACTCTTGTCCTCTTTCAAAGCTTTGAAGGTTTTAAGGCTGCTACCATGGACAGGCGGATGGGAGCATGTGAAGCTGGGTAGGTGTGTGTAGCCTGTTAGTGTGTATGCTCTGCCTTGAGTATTGCCACTGTTTTAGGGGATTCGGAAGAAACTAAATGCATGAGGTTGCAAAGTTTAGAACCTGGGACAAATTCTTAGTCATCTTGTTTTCAAGTGGAGCTAAGACAAAGAATGGGAAGATGAAGTAAATGTTTAACCTGAAAAGCAGGGGAGCAAGTACGTGTAGATTGATACAGCAAAATTATAGTTTCAAGTAGGTCTTGGAGCATTAATAGTAACTGCTGCCCTAGGGAGATTGTTCTATCCAGCTGTGCTGATTGCTGACTTGAAAAACAGGTGGATAAAAGAACTAAGTATTTCAAAGACAAAATTAAGATGAAAAGTCCTTCCAGTTCATGTTTGGCTTGATCATCTCTTTCTCTTGATCTTCTTTCATGTTTCTCTTCAGCTACATCAGTCATCTTTTTAAAGATGACTGAAGAGTTGTTATGAGATGGCAGCTCTTTGTTTTGATTGGTATTGTCTGCTCTGTGCTTTGGGAGTTGATTCTTGTAACTGCTTCTTAGGTTTAAATGCTTTGAGTAAATTAAGTAACATCTAACATGTTTTGATTTACTTGCACAGTTCTACTGAATAATATAATCTTTAATCCCAGACTTTATAGCACCCTACCAGGACTTCTGTATGAGAGGGGGAAAAAAAATAATCATTCAGGAAGTATGGTTAGCTGGCTTCATTGGTTCAGTATGTCACTGATATCGGAATGGAAGGTCCAAAGTATGTTGGCTAATACCACAGTGTTGCAGTGTAGAGGTTCTGTCATCTGTCAAACCCAGGACAGGACTTGGTGCATTTCTTATCTGTCTGTATTTTTATGTATATGTGTGGATATGTATTATCAGAGTAGACATTGGCATGTGTACCAACTTATTTAACTAAACCCAAGGGAATACCTTAGAAGATTCTATGTGCTCTTTAGATAGCAACAAAGGAACCGCCCAGTATTTGTCAGGTGCCTGCCCTTATGGTCCGTGTTCTTCAACGCAGAGGTCTGATTTTTTCAAATGTGCACATTTAATACTGGGTATACTGAAGTAAGTAAGGGAATCTAACCACTAAACCCAGTGATAGGTGTTGGCAATGAAATGCGTTAATTTTATATGGTATTTTTACAAAATCTTTGTTCTTGAAATTAAATCATCTGCTTTACTGAGCCTTTCACTGTCCCAAGACTTTTTATGATAAGAGGATTGCATATAGAATGAATGGAGTAACTTTAAAACTTGGAATGAGTGGAATGGCCTTATTTTCCCTCTAATTTTAACCTCCATCACCTTATTTCAGTGGTCTTCCTGCACTTAGCAAAGATAGATTGAGCTCCCCTGTTTCTTTTGTGCTGCATTTTTGTGGTTTATAAGCAAACCTTAAGATACATAATCTGGAGTGCTCTGGCACATGAATTTCTTAGCAAGACTCTAAGATTAAGAAAGCACTTTTTATTGTTAATGTGAGTAGCATCTCTGTGAAATTTTATGTATAGCTGTAAGCTACTGGGGGGGGAAGTCTTCATAGTCTTTGGTAGCTATATATTATAGAAGATACCACTATCTTCTGTGTATCTATAAAGGCAGCTCGGTGTTATAGTGGGAAATTTTTGAAAGAAAAGTATTCGTTTTTTAGGAGGGGGCGTTGCTTTGTTTTTAATACTTAACTGGGGGCAAAAGAGTACAAGAATCTTTCTTTTAGCCTGTGGTTCAGAGGGACTGACTGCAGGTCACGACTTGTATTTCTGTGTGGTGTAGAACATTTAAGTGAATTAACGCTGAAGGGAAATCGATTTTTGGATGTGCAGGAGGAGGTGACCCACCTCTTGGCTGAATCCCTGATTCACATGAAGAACACCCTGCTCTTCAGATGAGAGAAGTAGCTGGTCCCCAGCGAGCAGTGGGAGTTTATTACTAAGTGACGTATTTGGAAACTTGGAATAAAAAGGGGGTGCGTGGGTGGGGAAACTTCTGACTGATTAGATGATGTCTAGGAGATGGTGTGGAATAAGATTTGAGTTATCAGATGCTGCCAGGCTCTCCAGGTGTCCTTCCATGCTGTGTGAGGCCAAATGCCTTGGCCTCAGGCCTTTGTTACAGCAGCATTTTACATACCATTGCCTCTTTCTGACTGGAGTAAGGGAATTTGCCATTTTATGTTTGCCATTTGCCAAATTATATTTTTGTTTTGCCTTAAGCACTGATTAATCCTTTTTAACACCTTAGATTATAGTTCAGCCTCATTGTTACCTTAGCTGGGAGAATTGTGAAAACCATTGTTTGAACAAGAAGTTTCAAAGGTATTTGCTGTAGCTGCAACGGGAGGGGAAGGAAGCCACACTCTTTTGACTCCAAAAGATACCCTGCTGAGTTACTTCTGCTAAATTCAGTGAACACTCTTTGTTTTTTTGACTTTACCTGTAAGCACATTCAAGGTTTCTGCTAGTTCATACACAAAGGAGTCCTGTCTGTGACTCTTCATAGCTCCAGCATAACACTAGTTTGAACCAAGGTTTCACTTCTGTCCTGGAGAAAGCACCTGTAACTGGACTGTTTTTGCAGATAACTAACCAAATGATTGTACAGCCTTAGCCCAACTCTAACCGTGTCTGTACTCCAAAAACATAACATTATACAAGTTTTATCCAACCATGTTGGTTTTCAGAAGGAGTGTACCAAACTCTATACTTGGCTGTTACTTTTAGCCTTTTTTCTGAGCTGGAAAGCAGGCACTGCTCACACAGCCTGGAGCAGAAGCCAGGAATCCTGAAGGTTAGTATTCCAGCACTCTGCCACCAAAAATTGTGCAATATGTTGGCAAAATATTTCCATACCATGCTGCAGGGGCTTAATCACAAGAAGGAGAAAAAAAAACCAAAACACCAAAACTGTTGCTGCTCTCATTTATTGTGTGTATTTCACAAGCAGAATAGGTCTGTTGTGTAAATCTGATGATCCTCTTGCTGCCAAGATCTATTAGTTGGGTTTGAATCCAGCTACAAAGGACTAGTGTCTTTGTGGAATGATAACTTGTACTGTAGGGTATGTTTGTAAGGGACTGACCTGGTGCTGTATGAGCAACTTCCATTCTAGTATTTCTTGTGTTGCACGTGCTCGTGTGTGTGTATTTGTGTGGGGATGTTGGATGCCTCGAGACTTTATTACAGCATTATAAGGCCTTTTATCTTCAGATCACCATTTTGATTCCCTTTTGCTTGAACAAGGACTAAAAGTTGCTCCAGACCAATGGATATTTGGATAGCTTGTATATGAAATGGGTTTGGCAGAACTTGTACTGGATCCAGTACATTAAATTTGGTATTGTGCTTTCCCCTAGTGTGCAGGCTTACAAGAAGCCAAGAAGCCACGTGTTGCAGAAAGAAATGCTAGTGGGGCTGTATGAAGATACTAACTTTGCTCTGTTGTAACAGCAGGGAAAGATTGGTGACTTCTTTCAACAGGGATGCCAGGCTGACTCTCTTCATCTGCAGTGAAGTCATCTCTTTTAGTCTTAGGCTTCAGCATAGATAGTATAACCGTTGTAGTATGTCACACTTGGAGCTATGCAAAACATCTTTCTTACTTCTCTTTTTAAAGAATGTATTTCCCTCTGTGACTGGCTATTTTTAGTGTTCATCGTTTCAGAGAAGTTTCTCTCAGGGGACTATATCTTCCAGTTGGTTAGGAGCAGAGGAAAGTTACACAACTGAGAACAGGTCTGGAGAGGAGGAAGAATATAATGGTTTCTCAGGGAAAAAGTTAGCTGTTGCTTAGTGTGTTTAAATGTCCCCTTACCATGAGAACTGTTTTCTGTGTCAGTCTTGCTTTTTGAGTCATCGTGATGAATTCTGAATTAAGTGACCTCACTTTAGGCTGTAAAGTCATTGCAATAACCTATATTGCTATCTGCTTATTTCAGCATGTCAGATAGCCAAGTCACTGGTTTTATTTGAGGGGTGAATTTCCTAAGACATGCAACATCTTGCCTCATTTTCTATAATTTATATCAGGTTTGGGTTGGGTGTTTGTGTGGATTTTTTAATGGGGCTGGGAGGGGAATTGTATTAAATCTCAAAGTTGTGTGTACTTCCTGTAGGTATGTAATGTACATACTTGCATATGTTTTGATGTTCGGAAGTGTCTCTGTGTGTGAAGTTCTGAACAAATGAAAATAGACTTCTGAAGCTACTGAGTCAAACTGACAAGATTGCCTTTAAGTTTATTTCTTGTTTATTACAGCAAGTTGATTTTTTTAGAGCTCTTCTAGCAATGAAGGCATTTACAAGGTCTCCCTCACTCAGGGACTTTTCATGTAGAGTAGTGAATTCATGTAGTGCTTCTCTGTCAGGGGCTTAGTCACTGGCTTCTGGGTTGCTATTTTTTCTGAAAGTTGTAGGAGCTAAACTATCTTTGAAACTTCTGTTTTGAAATACAGGGTTTTTTGTCTGTCCTACTTCAATTTAAAATGTTTCTGTGGATTAAGAAGAGATTGTCACAGATAGTGTGTATTGGTAAAGCATAATTCTTGTAGAAAGCCAAGCTTAAAACGTTCTTCTGTTCAAGCATGAGTTGATCCGTTTCAGAAACCAAACTGACATTTTTCTTCATATGCCTTTTTCTTCTAGGGTTTTCACAGACGTTCAGCAAGTCCTCAACAACCTGACGCATTCCCGGTTTGTGTTCACAGACAATGAGGGAGAAGCAGACATCCTCTACAACTTCTCACACTTCAAAGATTATAGGTTGCAATTGTTCCCCTGATAATATAAATTCTTTTGTTGCTATAAAGACTGTTCCCAAAGGCCTCCCCAGTCGTCCTTCCTCGCCCAATGACTTCTCTGTTTTGTAGGAAGCTAAGTGAGGAAAGGCCTGAGGTAATGCTGAATCAGTTCCCGTGTGAGAACCTCCTGACTGTCAAAGACTGCCTGGCATCCATATCTAGACGAGCTGGAGGACCAGATGGGCCAAGATGGTTACCTCGTACTTTTAACCTTCAAACAGAATTGCCTCAATTCATCAGCTACTTTCAACAACGTGACAGAAGGTGGCTTGTGTTACAGTTTCCTTACATCTTGTGCTTTCTTGATCCCACTCCCCTCAAAGACTAGTAGCCTGCATTTTGGGCTTGGCAGCTATTACACTACCATGAATTTGCTCTTGCTGTGTTTCTATTCAAGTGAATTTTACCTGGAAAGTGTGAGCTTTTTTCTTTAAGAGTAGTTAAGCAATGAATTTTGAGACACCAAAACTTTGCTGTGATTTGCATACAGACTTGAAGGCTATTGCTTTTTGTCTAGTTAAGATCTTACCTTGTGTATTTAACAGATACACAAAGGAACAAAATGTGTTTGTGTCAAATGTTCGGTTTTTTTCCCAGGGGACCAGTAGCAGTTGTTCTTGTACTTAAGCCAGAATGAAAAATGTTTATAGAGTTAAAGTAATTGGGTTCTGTAAGGCCATGAAAGTAAAACTGAGTTTTAGTGTTAACCTGAAGCAGTTGTGGAGCTTTAGGGTTTTAAATCCACGCTCTGTGCTGCTGTCTTGGAGTGGATAGAAACTGAGATTCTCTTTTGGTAAGAGAGAAAGAGACCATTAGGTACTGGCTGATGGAATGACCTCTTATGCCTGGCATGTAGTGTTCTGGTTGAAAGGTTGCTGCTTTGGTGATGCTTGCTTATGGTGCCACCTACCAGGCATTTCGTTTGGCCATTCTTTGCTCTGTGTAGTCTGTTGTTGACTGACATAACCAGGAGAGCGCGCTCCTTCCACGTATCCCTAGTATGTGGTGTTCTGATTCCTTTTTAAGATGGAGGGTTAACCGTGAATGCTGTGTGTACGTAGGGACTGGGAAAGAGGGGATAGGAATTTTCATATAAAGAGAAAAAACAAACCCTTTTAAGTTAACTCCACTAACTGTAGCTCAGTTTATGCTGTTTATCATGAAGCTCAAGAAGTTTCTCAGGATGCTTTAACTGATTGAGGAAAGGAAGACATCAGGTGTCATCCTGCCCTTACTCTGAAAGATGCATTGAAAGACCAGCACATTGCCTGTTTTCCTCAAGGATATTTCAAACAATTTTGCCCCTTGAGGTGACTAGGTACTAGAAAATGAGAAGATGGTGGTGTGCTTTCGTTTTCTTGCAGTATCAACTCTTGAGATGTTGTGTGATTTCTTCCCAAAGACGTGAGTTGTGGTGTCATTTCATGTCAGTGATTTGGAGGTGTTCTTAGGGAATCAACCTGGAAAATTACACGATGCCCTGCCAGAATGTTCTCTGACTCTTGGCAGAATGGTTTCCACACCATGACCTGTGCGTGTTCATGATGCTGCTGCTCTGTTGATGAGTTGTTTTCCCCTTTTGAAGGAGTTGGATGCAGAAGAAGGAAATAAATAGTGAGAACATGCTAGGCCCTAGCTCAAAAGATCAGTGAAAGCTACCACTGCCTTTTCTCCCCTTTATGCCTAAGGTCTGTTGCTCCCAGCTGTCAGTCAAAAGTCCTTAGTTCTTGTACTGTAGCCCACAGCTTTATAAAGTGTTTTATTCTGGGGACTACAGAGTACGTAGATCAGTTCAAGTGGATGTTCGGACAGATTAATCTGATGGATACTTACAGGTGTTGGCCTATCTCTCTTTCTCTCTCTCTCTCTCTCTCTCTCTCTCTTTTCCTGTCTCTCTCCCCCTCTCTTTCAGAGGAGAAGACAATCACTGGATATGCAAACCATGGAACTTGGCCAGAAGCCTGGATACCCACATCACCAACAGCCTTAACAATATCATCAGGCATAGGGAAAGCAGCCCAAAGGTTAGAGAGCATCATTTTGAGTGTGATTTGAAGGGGAGAGCTAAAAAAACCTGCTTCATAGAAGGAGGTCTAAAAATATAAAGGAAATCAAAACTCATGTGCTGTCCATAAGCATGCAGTTTCATCAATTCAGAATTGATTCTGATTCAGATTGGTCAGCTGCATTTGTTGCGATGATGAACTCCAACTGCCTGGTGTTTTCTTATTTAAAAATATAAAACTAGCCCAGACAGTCATGAATGCTCCAGCATGGTGCTGCTTTAATGCTAATCCTCAGACTGGCAGGTGAACACACATTAGCTGTAGTTAGCATTGGCCATAAATTTCGCTTCTGTCCCCTGGTTGATCAGTATTGCTGATCCGCAGCTCTGCTCAGTGGCACAAAGTGCCAACTTTGCCAACAGTAGATGAATTGTGGCGCTTTTTATAGGGAGTCTGCAATACGTGGTCATACCTCAGAGTGTCGCTTCAGCTTTATTTCTGTTGGTGTGTGGACTGCGTGTATTTTCTGGAATGCAGAAATGCACAAAGAATTGCTTCACGTTTCTAGTTCAAAACAAGGTCACCAAAATTATAAATAAAATTAATTATGTGAGTTTTAAAAATTAGTACATTCTGGCCTCCTGCTTTCCCCACTCTGATGTCAGAGAGTTAAAGGTACCTGTTTGCATAACAACATTGTGTATTCATGCACATTTCTAAAGAAAAATGGAAATGTGTACAAGGATACCTTGAGTCATTGAGATCCAGTGACACTTGGTTTTCATTTCAGTTGGATTGTATTTATTGTGAGCGGTTTTGCTTTGTTGTAGGTAGTGTGCAAATACATTGAGAATCCAGTCTTGTTTCACCGAGAAGATGTGGGGATGGTTAAATTTGACATCCGTTATGTTGTATTGCTGCGGTCCATAAAACCACTCAAGCTGTATATCTATGATGTATTCTGGCTGCGCTTTTCAAATAGGTAATTACATTCTCCTCATTACTGTAAAGGGGCTTAGAATTATATCTGATACCTTGGAAACTAAGGAATTGTTTTGTTCCTTAGGGCATTTTCACTCGATGACTTGGATGACTATGAGAAGCATTTCACAGTCATGAATTATGCTCCCGGTGTAACATTAAAACAGGTAAGCAAACAGTCCAAAACACTTCCTCACCTTTCTGTTGTTGGAAAATTTTCCAGTGCCTCCTTGTTGCCTGTTACCAAATAATCTATATCACATCCACTTAAACAAGCAGTCAGGGCATTGAAAGTACCCCAAGTCCTAAGCAAATATTTTCCTAGACTCTTCCCCCTCTTCCACCATAATCATCTGTGATTATATAAGGTAATACAAACCTATATCCTCAATATAACCCACATTGATAGAGGTCAGTAAAAGAATTATTAAAATGGCAGCTAATCGTTGTCAAAAACTTCAGTGTGACCTTTTATAATAAGAAATACCTTAACAAGGAAAGTATTAAGGAACTGTTCCGTACTTCTCTACGTGTGTTTATATGAATGGCAAAAAATAGTTGATGTTCCATTCTCTTGATATCTAATTGCTCAGTCATTCCCAACCAAAATGGTCTTTGATGTTGCTAAACTCTTTTAGGTACACTGTGAAGAATTTATTCCTATGTTTGAAAAACAATATCCAGAATATCCTTGGACAACGGTACAAGTAAGTCAGCAATTCATCTTTCTCATGTAGATATTCGTGAATCTCTTTACTTGGCAAACTACCTTTTCCAGAAGTGTTGGGTGGTTGGTTTTTTTTCTCATAAGACGTACTTCATGTGTATCAGTTCCACAAAGGACATCGAATATTAACCTTTAGTTCAGAAGCATTTCTTAACTTAGCGCAATTGCCCCTCAAACATTTTGTTGTTAGCATTTGAGAATTTTATTTCATGATTACACTATGAGAATTCCTTACATTGGACTATATAGGAAAGCCAACGCCCTCATGGGAAAGTCAAGTCCCTGATAGAATTAAACCTGGCCAAGGACATCAAGACCAACAAAAAAAGCTTCTATAGGTACATCAGTGACAAAAGGAGGACTAGGGATAATGTGGGCTCTCCCTGGAAGGAAATGGGAGACCTGGTTACCCAGGATATGGAGAAGGCTGAGGTACTCAATGGCTTTTTTGCCTCAGTCTTCCCAGCAAGTGCTCCAGGCACACTACCAAAGTTGAAGACAAAGGCAAGGTCTGGCAGAATGAATAACTGCCCACTGTAGGAAAAGAACAGGTTCAAGATCAACTAAGGAACCTGATGAGATGCATCCGTGGGTCCTGAGAGAACTGATGGATAAAGTTGCTAAGCCACTATGAATCATTGTGTGAGAAGTTGTGGCAGTCCAGTAGAGTTTCCACTGACTGGAAAAGGGGAAACATAACCCCATTTTTTAAAAAGGGGAAAAAAGGAAGATGCAGGGAACTACAGGCCAGTCAGTCTCACCTCTGTGCTTGGCAAGATCATGGCATGGATCCACCTGAAACTGTGCTAGGGCACATGGAAAATAAGGAGGTAATTGGTGATAGCCAGCATGGCTTCACTAAGGGCAAATTGTGCCTGACAAATTTGGTGGCCTTCTACGATGGGGTTACAGTGATGGTGGATAAGGGAAAAGCCATCAGTGTCATCTGTCTGGCCTTGTGTAAGGCGTTCAACACTGTCCTGCACGACATCCTGGTCTCTAAACTGGAGAGACATGGGTTTGATGGATGGACCACTCTGTGGATCAGGAATTGGATGGTCACACCCAAAGAGTCATGGTCAGCGGCTCGATGTCGAAGTGGAAACCAGTGATGAGTGATGTTATTCAGGGGTTGGTGTTGGGACCAGTACTATTTAACATCTTTGTCAGCGACATGGACAGTGGCATCACGTGCACCCTCAGCAAGTTTGCTGATGACACCGAGTTGTGTGGTGCAATTGACATGCCGGAGGGAAGGGAGGCCATCCAGAGGGACCTGGACAGGCTGGAGAGGTGAGCCTGTGCAAACCTCATGGAGTTCAACAAGGCCAGGGGCAAGGTCCTGCACCTGGGTCGGGGCAATACCAAGCACAGAGACAGGCTGGGCGATGAGCCCTGCAGAGAAGACTTGGTGGTGCTGGTGGGTGAAAAACTGAACGTGAGTCAGCTACATGTGCTTGCAGCCCAGAAAGCCAACTGTGTC